GGTCTATGTGCAATTCAATTTGAGAATCAGAACCAAGATGAATGCAACAAGGATGGAAAAAAGAGGGATATCCTACTTGCTAAAGATAGTCGACACGCTAATTCATGGGTGGTGGATGGATACAACTCTGAGGAGGAAGATGATTGTTATCCAAGGACTGACATTCCACTTCGAATTGTCTTTGAAGCAGCTGAAGCAGACGACTTCTTACAGCCGAGAAGGACCACAACAACGGAAAACATGGGTTCTAGTTCAAGAGTCCGTGAGGAGGTAGATTCGAATGACGATGAGGAAGAACCTATTGTGGACTCAGACTCAAATGAGGAGGATATCCAACTTGATGATGATGATGATAGTGACGAGGATGCTTTGAGAGATGAGATTTTGCTACTCGGCATCAGTGATGATGATGAGGATGATGAGTGATGATGAGTCATTGCTCGATTTTAGACTTTAGCCACTTTGCTTTTGAAAATTTGCTTTTATTTAGACTTTTGAGTTTGGAATTTGGACATATCTAGGAGTTTAATCTTTATTGCTTGCTTAGTATCTATACACTGTTATTAACTTATTATCTATCATGACATTATCTTACTTTGCTTATTTATCTACTTGAAGATTTTATTTTTCATGTCAAGTTTTTAGTAGTTAGTATAATGATGATGTTACTAATCAATGCTTTTTATTGTTGACGATATTTATATTAGAGACTTGAAAGTTGAAGGAATAGGACAAATAACGGTCTTTTTGATAAACATGTACGTTTTTATTCTTTATAGTACTTTGTTAATATTATACAATTGTTACACATCTATTTCATGCTTAGGATCTTTATAAATCATCAAATATACATTTGTAGATTTTTTAGAGTTTTTGTAATTTTTTATCTTTTAGAATATATAAGTATAGTTATATTTGACTGTTTTTTGACTATGCGCTATTTGCCACTATTTTACTGCTATAGGTGCAAATAGTCTTAGTGGTAACTTGCCGCGACGCGATGCAATCTGCTATTAGCAACCTTGTTAAAGAACTTTAGAAGTGAAAAAAACATAAAGAGCATAACTTTAGCTATCTGTTTTTAAAAACGGGAGGCAAGATAATTTTAGAGTAAATAAGATAATGTTATAAAAGACTAAGGGTGTATATGGTATAAAACTACAAAAAGCGACATCACTTTTAAAAATCATCTGCATGTTACTTCTAAAAGCAACATTGCATGTTCAGTAAGCATAGAATTTTTATATTAAACATCATTATTGACTACTAAAAAAATGTGAAACAACCCAGAAAAGGTAATATGCACCAAACTAGTCCTAAAAGAACCAAACTGTTACATCTTACTTGCATGTTTCCTTTGGTCACTGATCTTAGGATATATGAAATGTCCACGCTCAAAGAGTGACTCTGAATAACCCAACAAGGAATATGCCAATGCCTAGTGAAAATAAGTATTGAAAACTTACTAACAAACACAAACAATCCACAAATCAATAATGTAAATAAGATGCGCAAGTATTTTATGTGGTTCACAATTATGGGTTGCATCCACGAGCAAGACACATCAATGGACATTTCACTATTTCAACAACAAAATACAAGGTTTCAGATTCATGAGAACACTCATCATTATGGTGAAGACACCAAACACAAACCCTCTTCTACAACACTAGTAGTAAGAGAAAAGCAACCCAAGGCAAACAAGTGAAATTTCTACTTGAAAACTCGACATCCGAGGAGAAGAAGAGAGTTACCATGACTATGAATTACTAGCCTAGATCCACTAATTCAAATGGGTGATGAGAATACATTCTCCTCCTTGATTTGCCATTGCCAATGAGTCTTGATGCACAGACAAAAACTTCTCTCAAGTCATTTCTTTGTTGCACTCTTACCTTCTCAAAACCATAGAAGAGAATAACTATATGAATGATGTTTTAAAAAGTGAGCGCCTAGATGGCTAAGACGCCCACCTAGGTCTTAAAAGTGCCTAAGGGAGCATGTACCACTTATGCGAACTGCACCATTTTAGTCTTAGTCTTGATTTCCTCCACTACAACCTCCGAATCCTCTGACCTCCTCCAGCCTCCTCCACCGACTATAAGAACCTCCTCCGACCTTCAGCAAAACCTCCTCCATAATCATTTAAAAATATCTGCTTAATCCTCGCTTAGGCAGTAGGTATGGTCTGATGCTTAGCGCCTTCAATAACATTATATATAGATAAATGAAAAATGTCCCAAACCCAGTCGATCTTGTATAAGGACCTCACTCGCTTATTTCAATCTCTCTTATTCCTAAAATGACCTTTAGGGATAAGAGAAAACAAATTCAACCCATATATACCCATATAGGCTTCAAATGTCAAGAAAAAGACCCAAGAGAGTTGATTTGGTCTCACAAAACCAACGATCTTCACCTTGACACAAAATCAATCACGCGTCGGACTATCTTGCTTGAGCCTAAAGAAGATAGACTCTAAGGGCCTGTTCGTTTGTTTTCAAAAAAGCAAGAAATGGAAATGGAAATAGTGGAAATCTCAAAATAACCCATTTCTTCCATTTACATCCCTAAAACTCACCCACAACATCCAATAAAATATTATTTTCATCCAACAACTTATCCACATCATCTAATAAAATATTATTTTCATCTAACCACTCATCCACCACATCTAATAAAATATTATTTTCATCTAACAACTCATCAATCACATCTAATAAAATATTATTTTCATCCAAACATCACTCAACTCATCTCTTTTTATTATTTCAAATCACTCACATCATCGAATAAAATATTATAACAATTCACCTCATCTCATTAACATTTCATTTCTTCCATTTCATCACAAAAAGTTGTGAAAACACATTTCTTAATCTTTCTTCACATCAACCAATAATACAATGACAACTCATCCCATCTCATTTCATTTCTTATTTTTAAGAATGAACCGAACAAAAGAAAACAAGAAAACTACAGGAAATAGGTTTCTTATAATTCATTTCCTTATTTTTTTCGCCAACCGAACAACATCAAAACTAGTTTTCTTAAAAAATCACTCACATCATCCAATAATAATGTGACAACTCATCTCATCTCATCTCCATTTCTTTGATTTCCTTTTTTTTAGCCAACCGAACACTCCAAAACAATTCTTCATTTTCCATTTCTTTGATTTCCCATTTTTTTTAAGGCAAACGAACAGGCCCTAATCCAACTCATTAACTAGAACCATCTAGTGGACATATTTGCCACGTTATCTTTAGTTCCAAGTTCCAACTTTCAACAACTAGATTCTTGCTTCTTCAATAACCTCCCGAGTGTAATGATAATGGACTCATATGAGTTTGGTCCTCTTGTGATGCACCGGGTTCTTTGCAAAGTAGATAACCCTCATGTTGTCATAAAACAGCTTCATGGGCCTTACTACAACACCGATATCACCCACTAAGCCATGAAACCAAATCACTTGCTTGTAAGCTTTTGTTGCATTATTCCACCGTTGCTTGAAGCTAAGGTTGTGGAAAGCAAAAAAGTAAAGTGAAGAGGTAAGGCATCATTTAGCTTTATGGGGCTTAAGCGGATCAAAATGGAAAAAAAACCAAGTAAAAAGAAGGGCCAACTTAAATACTGGATAAATATTCAAAAAATAAAAAATTTAAGAAAAATTAAAAACTCTAAAAATGCATATTTGATGATTTATAGAGGCAGAAGAAGCTCCTGAAAGTGGCATTGGCGGCGGGAGATGGCAGATTTGGCAGCAAGAGGTGGTGGAGGCAGAGGACGATTTGGGGTCTTAGTATTTTTCTGGGTTCTTAACAAAGAAAGAGAAAAGGAACAGTGGATGGGTTTTAGGTGTTAAAAAAAGGAGTCTGGGTCGGGTCTGGTGCAAAATTGAGATCCTTTTATGATATCTTCATCTACATTTTAATTAAGCATTTTAGCGCTTTTCACTGCTATTTGCCTCTTTTTCGTACCTTTGCAAGCAAAAAGCGCTAGTGGCGCTTTAACTTTGTGGCAAAGCGAAGCGGCCAAGCACCTCTTTTGCTTTATACCACTGCTTTTCACTTCTTTTTGCCACTTTTTTCAACACTGCTTGAAACTTTGACATCTAACTAATCCTATGTTATTTATTCCGCATTTTGTTTACCCCACTCTCACATTGATATTGGGCTTAGGATTCTCCTCTTCGGTTCCCAACAAATAGTGATACAATAAGGTAAATTACATTTATCCCTCCTAGGGTTTCAAAGAGTGACATTTATACCCCAAAGTTTTTTCTCATCACTTCCCCTTGACTAATTTTGTCAAATGAAGGCTTAGAAAGACAATTATACCCTTTACATAGTAACATTTCTTTAATATGTATAGAGAAAAGTGTGTAGAATTTTTCTTTATTTCTTTAATAGAGTAATACAACTAAAATTTGATACCGCAAGAAATTCATTTTTTTTTCTAATCTATTTCTGCAATTTCTAGTATATTATGGATTGTACCTACAATAAGTTTTTGAAAAACAAAAACAAAACTAAAAAATGACGGTTAAAGTACATATGAAACTAAGGTTTTCTTTCAAATGAACTAAAAACTGAATTCAATAGTTTCAACAAGTATTAGCAAATTGGATGACAAAAAAAATTCATGCAAAGGGGTTCAACTTGAGAATATTAGAAAATAAATAAATTCTAATGAACTAGAAAATAAGAAAAATAAATGAAACAATCAAGAGTGATTTTTTTTTTTCTAAATAGGTCTTGGGAGGGAAAAAAAATGCAACAAATAGAAACCTTTGCGGAAGTGATGAGAGAAAAACGTTCACGGGATAAAGCCACTCTTGAAACCTTGGAAGGGATAAATGCAATTTACCCAGTATAATATCATCCTTTTATAACTGCTGCAAATAAAATATCTTATATGCATATGCCAAAGTTTTCCCGTTATATAAGAAAGTTAGAAGAGAAATTCAAGAAAAACCGAGCCTAGAATCGCAATCTAACCTGTTCTTAGGCTCAAGGCTGCGCATTGGAAAATGGTTGCTTGGGATAACAGCTGCTTCCGGAGACTTCCATCTTCCAACCCTTTGATATAATTACAAGCAGGCAACATTAAATTCGAATAAGTTCCATAAATTGCAAAGAGCGAGATCAAAATCAAATAGATTACTGGGTCATTAAATTTAAAAAAAAATTAAAATAAAATAAAATAAAAACTCACCTATGGTGGGTTGTTCGGCGTGTGGGATTGAAGCCGAATCTTAGGGAAACATCTCTTGAGCGCAGACTTGTGTTTGTGAGCAATGAAGATGATGACATCGTAACTAATTTCTGATCTAAGGAAGAAAAAAAAAATTAAAGGATTTTATAAAAGCGGAGGAGAAAGAAGAAGGACAAGGGAGTGAAGAGGGGAGTCGGGGGACCGAATGAAGCCGCCGCCAACAACACTCTGAATGCCAAGAGCTCGAAGTAGCCCTGACTCGATGGCAGGTTTCATGTTTGATAAGTCGGGGGCCCCACACGAAATACGTGCGAGAAATGGAATGAAAAATATTTCTTCCTTTATGAGAATGTTTTGGTATGAAGGTTTTGGACGGGGATGCTCTCCAATAAAGTGGTAAATAAAAAGGGTTCAATTACTCTAATTTTTACTATTTATTTTAGTTTCAAGGGATGAGAAAGTAAGATTCTAATATTATCCTGAAAATTAAGAGTTAATTTTAGAAAATATCTCTCAACTAATCGCTAAGTCAAATAATCTCCCCTAATTTTCTAACTCAACAATTTACTCCCTCTTGTGTTCTTTTGGTATTTGGTGCTGATAGATTGCGAACGGTGTTAAATAACAAAAACTATTGACTATTATACCCCTAAATAATTGCACCATAATTAACCCTAAATTTATTCATTATGTTACATTTGTCAATGCCGTTTTCTCCTCTAATCTGTAATAAACTCAAAAATGATCTAAGGGGGTGTTTGGTTGCATAATTTTATAAAAAAGTTTTCTCAAAATGTCTGACAATGGTAATTCTATAATTAAAAATTTTCTGTAGATTTCTGTAAAATTAAAAAAAAATTCAGAAATATTTACTGTAAAGTACAAAAAAGTACCAAAATTTACAAAACCAATGTACTCTCAAAATGAGAGGAAATCACCCAGAAATCTAACATCACATTGATACTTTTCTATAAAGTTGACACTTTTCTATAAATTTAATTATAGGAAATCTTGTTATTTTCTATAAAGTTATGGGATATTTTCTTGTTTTGAACCAAACAAGCAAAGCTAAAAAAAAAAAAAAATTGGTACTTTTTTACTTCTCAAAACTTTTTCTATAATTTGTTTAAGAAATACAAGGAAAGCATATTTTGGATGGAAAACATTTCCTATAATTTGTAGAAATTGAACCAAATGTTAGACCCTAGAGGGGGGGTGATTAGGGTCTTATGCTAATCTAATCCGATTAAATGCTAATTAAAACTTATTAACAAGTTATCCTAGCAAGAGTGAAATATAACAAGATATGTAAGCTAGGATAAGCAATATGAACAACAAAGAGATATATCATATATGATGAATATATATATGCAAGGATATATAAACTACACAAGGATAAACAATCTAGACAAGATAGTAGATGATATAGAAATGAGCAATGCACAATGGCGATATAAGATATGAACATAAATATGAATGAACGCCAAAGCACACTCAAACAAGCAATATGATCACGGAGTTCGGACCTTCCGTCCTACGTCTCCGCTCCCCACTCCCGGGGAGAAATCCACTAACACAATCCGGTTTGGAAGCCGGAACTTCTTCTACACACTCGGTTTACAAGTTCACCGAAAACTCTCACACAACAAACACTATGCAATCACACTCTACACCCACTAAGTGTTGGACCTAGCCGTGTCTCCCTCAAGTGCTCGGTTACAACCTCTCTCTAGGCACGTCAACCGATGCTACTCCTCTTGGGACGATCCCCGACTCTCACCACACACTCCTCACTCGGTGTACAAGTGTATTACAAAGTGATTCTCACAATAAGCACAAATATAACAAATGATTGTTCTCAAAACAAGGTGAGAACTCAATTAAGCACAACTCTTAGTCACAAACCCACAACCCCAAATTATACTATGAATGTAAATACAATAAGCTCAAAAGGTTGTGTGTGAACAAAGAGATATAAATCAAAAACCAAACTCAATGTAGTTCCAGCTAAATAACAATGATAATCAAATATATAAAATAGCTAGAAATAGAGTTTAGAAAACTTATCAATATATCAAGAGTTGGAGGGAGAATAGTTGAATGCCCAAACACCAATAGATGATCTCCTCAAGCTCTTGTAGAATTGAATCACAAAACCGAAACACTCAAATGCTTAAAAGCTTCTTAAAACAAACTTAAATAAACACTAAACAAGTTTAAACCCTTGTTAAAATCTTTTAAACCATTCTCTTGTTTTTTTTGAAAGATGACAGCAATGTGGTATTTATACCACTCCAAAACTCAGCCAAAACCCCAAAACAAATGACAGAAAAGTCCCTAGAAGACAGCTCAGGAAAATAGCCGTTGATGTCCAACGGATCTATTGTCGGTCGACCGAAAATTCAGTCGGTCGACCGAAAGAAAGAATTCGGTCGACCGACGGAAAATCCGGTCGACCGCGCGGTCGACCGGAAAATTCGTCGGTCGACCGAAATTTTCATCGGTCGACCGGACCGGTCGACCGACAGGCTTTCTGTCGCCCAGTGAACTTTTGACCTCAGGTTCGGTCGACCGGTACGGTCGACCGAAATCTGATACATGAAAATCTGTATAGCTGATTTTAAAATGCTGTTTAAAAATATCAAATAAATTCCAAAAAATGTAAAACTTTGGGGAATGATTGTAGACATGATAATAAACATGCTACAATGACTGGTTTTGAAAAAGGACTTCCCAAATGAAAAATATCATCATTTTACAAAATAGTCCAAAACATGAAAACCTGAAAATTGATATTTTGATATTTTGACTTAAACAACATTTTGAAACCTTATGAAATGATTGTATAGACTTGATAAAAGATATAACATGTTGTTATGAAGTCTATAATCTAGAAATACAATATTTTCATAAATTTGCATATTCTATGCAATATATTCAAAACACTAAATATGATTTCATTAAATATAAGCTTGTTAAAGGTGAAATCATATATAGGCATATAAACATGAAACAAAATAGTATTTTCCAATTCTATTCATTTGTTTCATATATAAACTCGAAAATTATTAAACCAAAAACATATATGTATATATATATATAACTGTATATATACAAAACCAAAACCAAAGCGTGTATGTGTGTATATGATTGAGCTTAAAGTACTAACACACATAATATAAAACCTATACTATGTTACCCAAGCTAGATCTTGATCTTCAATGAGCTCAACTTGGTACACATGCGGATGAAGCTAAACTTGGATCTTGAACTTGAATTGTACGATGCTTCACTCCACAATTCCGCCAACCTCCTTTGGATATCATCGTTGAAGCTCTATTTCATCCATCCTCCAACAACGTTGTTCAACAACGTTGTTTGTCTATAATAAATAAGAAAACACAAATACTAGACAAACAACATTAGTGGTAAATTGTTTGTTAAACATCATCAAAACAAGAAGGTCAACACCAAACTCTAGGGTTGTCCATTCGGGCCGGCCCGGCCTGAAAAACCGAGTCCGAGCTGAGCAAAACCGGAGCCCGAACCCGGGCCCGGTTGGCCCCGGCCCGAGCAGGCCGGGCTCCGGGCCGGCCCGGTCATTTCCCTTTTTTTCTTTTTTTCCTTTTTTTGATAAAAATTTGCTAAAAATTAGTTTTAACCTTATTATATTTATATAATTATGTATTAGTATATACTTACAAATTATTATATAACTATATATTATATACATATATTATATGTAAATATATTGTATATATTTATAAGTTATAACTTGAGAGAGAGAGAGAATCATATAAGTATATATTACTTAAATATAAATATGTATTATATAGTTATGTATGTATTTATTACATCTTACATACTTACATTATGCTTATTTAATTACAATTATGTAGGATATTTTGAAAAGGTCAATATTAACACCTAACTAATCTCCTCTTTAATCTCCACTAACCCCACTAAAAATTCTTAATTCTCCTCTAACTACAGCCACTTCTTTGGACTCTTTCTCCTCTCACTAATATAAAACCCATTTAATACAACCCTAAGTCCCCAAGCTCTTCATGTGTTTATCTCTGTTGCTGTTCCTTCCCACGTTCCGAACTCCAAAGACAGAAAAATGAGAGAGAAGAGAGAAAGTTAGAGAGGGGTTGGGGGAGATTGTCTTCATCATCCCTATCACCTGGCACACGATTGTCAAAGCAAAGGGAGTGAACAGCTTTTAGCAATGATCTCTTCGTCTAGCTATCCATATCAATCAACGTTGGTAAATCGTCACCACAATTTACTTTTCTTTTATCTGGGCAATCTTCTTCATCTGAGCAGAAGCTCTGTACTCTCGCCCGAGTACAGAGGCCGGCTGTTTCCGGGACTTTTACTGCTAGGGGGAGGGGACCGACTACGTCAGGGCGATAGGCGGGTCCTTAATCTTCTAGGGCAGTGATTGCATGACTGTTTTCCGTTCATGCCTGATTTTCTTATCACTTACTTATTTAATTCGGATTTAATTTATATGCTATAACTTTTATTTGATAATTTTTCCAACAATCTAGAAGATTGAGTGATTATATCATTTAAGTATTAAATCCGAAATAATTATACTTCTTCCATTACTGTTAAAAAAATTAATTGTTATTGTTTATCTGTTATCGTTCATCCAAAAGAGAATTAAAAAAATTAAAAAAAAGGTTTCTCGATGAATTGATGCATGCTAACTAAATAGAGCTACAGTAGTATACTTTTGTGCAATTACATAAAGTTCTATAGTTGTCTATATGTTTTGATTCAAATACTTCTCAAAATATACAATGAGGTGTAAGTTCTTCTGGCTGTAGGAACTAGTAACATCAGAATGATTTTAATAAACTTTTGTTTGAAATTTATCATCCTTGTGATATATGTTTGAAGATTAAGTTTAGCAATCTTCTTCTGCAACTTCTCTCAGATGAATAAATTATATTCGTGCAATAAAATTTGGTTTGAAATTTGTTAATTTTAGTTTATTTCTTCACTCACCATATATTAATCTACAATTGTTAGTAACTCATACTATTGTGATTATGAGATATAATATAAGGTTTCATGATTCCTACACAATGGGTTGAGTGTCTTAAGTTATAATGATCTCTTGACATAATTATGCACAGATGCCATCTGTACACTTTCACAATCAAACATGGAACGCAGCATCTAATTTATAGTATGCTAATGTCACTCTATCCTCTCTTTTATTAATAGAAGGTTTGAATTATTTTAAGTATAT